TTTACTTATGGTGCCTACTATTCGCTTGACACAATTATCTATCTATCTATGCAATCTATCTGCCTATATTTTACTTACTTTACTTACGGTGCCTACTGTATGCTTGACTCAATTATCTATCTCTATATCTATCTATCTGTGCAATCTATCTGCCTATATCGCTGGCTTTCTTTGTCAGGCTTATATACTAAAAAGAGGGCGTCTAGCAAACACTGGGACATTCGCGGGGTTCCCCGATAATTCTAGAAACTCCAGCGCGCATGCTCCCAGTAACAGTACAATAGGAAGGACAAAACCAAATATAACAAAATTATTTTTTTCTAACCATCCTCAATAACAATTATATTAATATTAAGACTGTTATTAATATAACAAAACTAAAAGGTTTGGGAAAATAAACAGAACTTACCTGGTTGTTTTTCTTCCCGCTTTAATATATTACCTGAAATAAATTAAGTTGTTAGTGCGTTACCATAATGGCTTTCATACACACTCAACCAATGTGGCTCTAAGTAAAACCAGATCCTAGGAGGTATACAAGTTCTACACAGAGGTTTTGTAAAAATTCAAAATACAATATTTCTTTCCAAGAGGAACAGCGTCAAAAAGAACCCACATTTACTGTTAAGAAGCATAAATACTGGTACATAAATACTGGTGCAGATTTGGCTTTGAGTCGAATAAACATTTGAGTTATAAGTAATATGCATATATACATCTTCAACATTTCGATTCAAGATTTATGAAATTTTACATTTTGAACGCTGCAAAATATATTTCCAAAAAGCTAAAATCAAAAGAATAACAAAAGATTCTTACCATCTACATCACACAAGACAATGCCAATAGTGAGTGTGTGATGCAGAGGTTTGCCCATCTCGTCCACACACCATGATAAAGTTCCTTGATGCTGAACCACAGCATAACCTCCCTCTGGTGAGCACTTTGGTGGCTTCAAAATCATATAGATACGTTTTGGTGACGTAGCTATGGACAGCAGAATGAGACATTTAGAACAAACAAGGAACGATTTAAGTTTTCTAAAGAACATTACATACACCAATAACAACCTCCAAAACAACAAAATGTTATCACTTCACGGATTGATGTCTGCTTGCCAAAATTATTTGGTAAAATTCTAAAGCTAAAACTACAAATATTATAAAATATGTAAAATAATAATTACAAGAATTAACAACTCAGTTTTGTTTCTCGGTTACAATAACCTTGATATGTCGAATACTTTTTTCATCCTTTTATTACACTGTATTTATTTATTGTCACCTGCGTATATTTGCGGAAGACACTAGTCTCGAACGAAAATTAAAACAAATCCAAAAATACAAGAAAGAGTAAAAATCGCCATTCACTGCGTTACTTTCATCATTACAGCGATTTTTAAAATAATGATAAAACTTTAATAGATTTACCTGAAGGTATTGTGGATTTTGGAGAATCAACACAGGAGGATCCGCAAGCTGAAACGCAACACTTTGACACTCCTGGACATTCTTGGTCAACGTAGCACTGATAATGTGGAACGAGGCAAGGCCAAATATTTTTATCTCCTTGAGGTCGAGGGGAGTCCGGACAGGTTCCAGGTTTAGTAGCAAAGCTATCGAGAATAGAGATTGGACTCAAACATTTGAAGCCACAGTCACTAACACAGCACTTCTGTTTACCGGGACAATCCTCATCAAAAGAACAGTCATCTTTGCAGTCCTGAAGAATGCTTCGAAAAATGGTTGAAACTGAAGGCATTGGGCAAATGCCCGATTTCAGTACTGGGTTATTCATCATATCAAAAGAATCAATGTTCTTTAAAATATCAAAAAGATTCGTAAATTCTAAATCCTTGGCAATATCATTCTGGGGTAGACCAATAACAAGGGTAAAACGTGATGGCGCAACTGAAACAATTTCAAAAGGTTTAATTACCAATAATACTGAAATATACACAATTAATAATTTTGTCAAACATTACGTTGTTCTTAATGTTTTTCACTATTCCAGACTTACGTACATTGAAATAAAACTGACAATTTTGAGTACAATTATTTTGATCTAAAATAAAAACTCAGTTAATTTCACACTTGAAATAAAAACATTACTATAATATATTTTGTGATTAAGGATTATAATCTTCTACAACAAAATGGACTTAGTTTATGTTTATTACACTTAAGTTGATTTCAAGATAATGAAATTTTCGCTGGATATTTCACAAGAAAATCAGATTACTTTTTAATAACTAGCTTCAAAGTTAAAAACACAAGTATTACAAAATGTATTTTGAAAATCGTCCTCCAGGTCATCCTTGAAGTTGTTTGGCCTAACTTGATTTTTGCTATTAATCTCTCTATCCGTTGAGTTTGGAAGTGGCGACCTCTTTTTCAGCAATATTTTATTCTGACTGATCCTGGGAGAGGTGTTAAGTATTCTTTGTACTTCTTGAAAGCAGACTGTTTTAACTGTGAAAGAAAATATTTTATGAAAAAATAAATATTAGAGTAGTATAAAAAATTATTTGTGAACTTAAAAAAGGCTCATGCACAATAATAATGCTACCTTCAGCCACGCAAAAAATAAAAATTACGCTGCTTTCACAACACTTTTTTCAAACAGTAATAAAACAGCATCACCCATCTAACACTCAAAATGCATAATTATTCGTGTACAATATTTAGCCACATCTAGCATTATTAGACAAACCCCTAAACAAACAGCAAGGTAGTAAATCTGACAAAATTGCTCCTACAAATCTGGTTCAAGCCTATCACCTCTTATGAAATTCCAAATAACTAAGGTAAAATTTGTAGTTCACCTTTAAAGTTTAAGTAGATCAGCAGTCTTTATTTAGAAGTAGTCGAATCCTATGGGTATAATATAAAAAATTTCCGAAGTCAAAACAGATCAAGATTGTTTATTACTAAACAGTCTCTCAAGCTCCAGAACTTCCCCATGGAAACAATACTGGGAGGAGTACACAAGCTTCAGAACTTCCCAGTGGAAACAACAATGGCAGAGTAAAATTCTCCAGAATTTCCCCGAGGAAGCACCATTGTCAGGAGTACAGAAGCTCCAGAACTTCTACGTGGAAACAATACTGTACACAAGCGCAAGAATTTTACATTTAATATAATTAACTTCTATAAAAGCAAGGAAAATTTTGGAGCAAGCAGCCTTTCATAATACTTGCTTCCATATTCATCCAATTGTGAGATTTTCCTCAGAAATTCTCAGCGTAATTCTGCATGCAATTACTTTGTTAGTTAAAATTGTTTTGTGTCATGAAGATTTTAAGTTGTCCCACTCTCAGAATAAAACTTATGGCAACTTTTAGAAAGCTGTAGAACAACCAACACCGTTTTTCATAAGAAACAGAAAACTTTGAAAAGTATAAGATGAAAAATATATATCGAAATTAAATTCCACTAAATATACCTTAAGTTTTTAAATGTGTCTTTCAGACGGTATAATGTGATCCACTGAACTAGAAGTAAACATGTTCACGTTTCCTATCGTAATATTATTTTTTTTTGCAATATTGATATTTTTTCTAGTTTAACCAAAGTCAATTTAGACAAACTTCTAATTATATATATACACCTAGTTATTAAACATCCTATATTTCTGCTTTTGTTTTCACGTTTTGGTTAGAGAAACATTTGGCATCCAGCTCCATCTAGTGCAGAAAATCGTGAGATAGTATTCATTCTCTTTTATTATTATTGTGTTTATATTTTATTATTATTTTCTTCTTTCGTTTAGTTGAGCTCTCGGGTTTCTTTATAAAATACAAGCTGAGGTACCCATCCTTTGTCCGGATGGAAGCTATGGTAAAATAAATATCATAACTTTCATACAATTTATTTATATCATATTATTATAATATCGATTATTATCTCATCAAGATCTTTGTATAAGTTTTAAGAACTCAGTATGTATATACTGTTGCGTCATCGAGTCACATGACTACTGTGACGCAACGTTTCTAGAACTATCATGTACTTTGGCGAATGCTCTAGTGTTTGCTAGATGGGGTAGGCGGGTATATATAAGAGGGGAAAACGTGACGCGGGAGATTGTTGTAATGTGTGTATAGATAGTGAGTAATTGAACTGCAGTCACAGGGTATTGTTGAAGTTAACGTTCGTTCGTTACAGTGTTGTTTTAGCGCGAGTATTGAGATTAAGTGTATCGCAGAGTTATATTCGGAAAGAATAAACCAGTTTTATTAAGTAAAGACTTGTGTCGTTAACGTTTCGTCGGAACGAAGTTACGAAACAATCAATTAACAAACGGAGACGTAACAATACTTAACATTCGTGTTTCGCACAGAGCGTCTTTGTTTGCCATTTATTAAAACGTTGCGTTCGAAAGGAGTCGGACACGTTTTATTTTGTTCTGGACGGTTATTATTTTTCTGATTTTTATAAATGGCTTCTTGCAGAAAACATAATGTGTTGAGTGAAGATCAGCCAACTACTGAACTATTTGATGATAATTTGTCAGATCTTCCATGTGAAGGTGAAGGTGTTTGTGGATGATTCTGACAGTAACGTTGTTAACCTTCAGAGATAAGTAACGTTGTTCTGCTCTCAACTGATTCTAAATCAGAAAGTGATGATGATTCTACAAATGGTCCCGTTAGTGATTTGTTTTCCCATTGTGATAATGATAATTGGTCAGAAATAGATATTCCACCGAACTTGGAAATGTTTGAAAGAAATCCAGGGGTCATTTGAACTCCATCTGAATCCAAAAATATTGCTGCCGTGACAAGTTTAATGTTCGATGATGACTTGTTTGAAATGTTTTGTAAGTAAATGTGTAACTACCATAATCAAACTGCAGAGAAACATAAGATGTCATCTAAAGGACTTCAATGGTTTTAAGTTACACCTACAGATATGAGAAGATTCCTAGGCCTTATTCTACTAATGGGACAAGGAAATATAACGGGAAATAGCACCGATCAACAGATCCTCTTTTTATTAGCCCAATAGTTTTGCAAACAATGAGCCGAAACAGATTTGAACAAATTTGGACATTTTGGCATTTCAATGATATTCAGAAAATTCAACCAGTACTGGGTTATTTCCTCAATACATTCAGGACACTACACAAACCAAAGTAACAGTTGTCATTGTATGAGGGCATGATTCCGTCGAGAGAACGTTTAAGATTCCAAACATACAACCCTGCAAAAATTGTAAAATATAGCCTGCCGGTGAGAGTGACAGGATATATTTGCAACATGGAGATTTATACTGGGGAGGTGAAAAAATTGAAAAACTATTCTTTCAGTTCATGCTCCCAATCTTGCATTGTGACAAACCTGTTCCTATAACATAAAACAAGAGTCTGCAGAACAATCAGAGTGAATAGAGGGTTGCCGCCAATCCTTAAGTTTCAACAATGAAAAAGGTGATGTTCTCGTTTCCATATGGAAAGACAAAAGAAAAGTGAGATTGTTTACAAACATCCATGACTCATCTGTTTCTACCACAGGAAAGAAAAATAGAATAACTGGAGAAGAAGTAAAAATAAAAACCTGTTTGTGTTCTCCAATACAATACCCATATGAAAGGTATTGATCGTGCAAATCAGTACCTCTTATACTACACCATTCTCAGAAAAATAGTGAAATGGACAAAAAAAGGTAGTATTTTATCTAACAAATTTCGGCCTTTTCAATTCATATATAATCTACAAAGCCCTGATTCAACAGAAAAAAATAAAATATAAACAGTTCCTCCTCTCTGTGACAAGAGAATAGATTACTGACAAAGAGAAAAAAGGATCACTGGAACTAGATCTATCATCTGAAGGTACAAGGAGAGCCCCACATAAGTTTCAAATAAATAAAAAAAAATACAGTTGAGTTATGAAAAAAAAAATCAGATTCCTTTCAAACTCAACGTTTTAATAAATGGCACACAAAGATGCTTTGCACGAAACACTAGTATTCTCGTAACCAGTCCGCAATGTGTTAAAACATGGTATACACTGTGCGATGGTCAGAGTGACTTTGTACGAAAGGGGTAGCGGAAATACTAGTGGCAATAGGTGTGCTTTTAGTCTATGAGCCAGACCAGATCTGACTACCAAACAGAGGGACTAAATGCCACTATGATTTTTAATTAGCCTTATGTCTGCAGTATCTAAAAAATGTGATGAACTTTCGAAATCCACAGCTAAATGACGTTTTGGCAGCCATTTGTAAAGATGGCCACCAATTTATTAAAAATCATCTGAAATGCATGTGGGCACTTAAATCAAAAGTAACCTTGACAAAATGTATCTAAAATTAGTTGTAGCCTGCAACTACGTTTACTTTGTGTTATTATCTGCAACTATATTTTATGAATTGGCTCTTAAATCCTGCACAATTTTCAACATTAACTGCTGTATCATGAACGTGATATTTAATGTTCTTTCTGCACTCTTCTTTATGTTTAGGTGGATACAAGTACAAATATGAAACCCATAAACATGATAAATGCTGCGCTGTGTGATTTTCAGGATCACCATTTCATTTTGCAGTAAACATGTATCCCAATGCACTTTGCTATATATATGGGGTATATGTTCTTAAACCAGGCAATGTAATACACAAGCATTTAGACCTGCCAAAGCAAATCATACCGACTCACGTGGAATATCAAGTAATGTGCATAGACTTAAAAAAGATACCCAAAACTCGAGTGCTTTCGAATAGTTTTGGGTCTTTAAGTCTATTACACTTTATATGTGATCCTTTGTGCTAACTCTTTTATCAAAAGTAATGTGCATATCCATTTACAATACTCAAGCAAGTTCAATGAATTATCCTGAAATTTTATGTAGGATGCAACAAAAAATACTCCAATAACAAAAATGTACAACTGTTGCATTCATGTCTAGAACATCGTAGCTCATGGTTTTTGCTATATACAGGGTAATAATTGTGCAACTAATATAATATGTCATTAAGTGATGCGAGAATTCATGGTCACATTTTTGGTTTTGCTGGAGATTTTAAATAAGTGGTATGTTTCTTTCACAGAGATTCAATGGAAAGGGATTAGCGTGCTGATATCTGGACAAGAAAAGGCAGACATGTGTCTCCTGTTGTATGTCAAGCATGCTGCAGAGAAATTTCCAAATCTAGTTATTATAACAGATGACACTGATATCTTCATTATTTGCCTAGGGATGAGCCAGAGTATCAACAGTAGGATCTTCTTCTGAAGGGGTTCAAATCATCTGTGAGGGTCGTTGAGATGACAAAACTAGCTAATGCATTGGGAAGTGATGCTTGCAAAGCAATGATAGGCCTTCATTCGTGTACTGGGTGTGACACAGCTAGATCATTTACTGGAAAAGGGAAATTGAAAGCATTGAAACCAATGATACGGGATCCAAAGTTCTTGGAGGCATTTGCCTTACTCAGCAAAATGTGGACCCTTCTGGATGAAATATTCAGATTTGTTCTTGTTCAAGAGTTTATGTCTCAACTATACTGCCATAACAGCAAACTATTTGAGGTCAATGAGCTGCAATACCAAATGTTCCATAGCAAACATAGTGAAATTGAATCTGGACAGCTCCCACCATGTGAAAACTATTTGGTGCAGTACACACGTCGTGCAAATTACCAGGCTGCCATCTGGTAATGAAGTCTGATAAACTCCCTAGATATTCATATCCCTAGTGCAGGATACAGGTGGGCAACAGATCTCAGCAGCAATCTAGTTGTGCAGTAGATGACAGGTTTGTCAACTCTAGATATCAACCTCAGTCTGATATCATGCAAGTGTGCTTGATTTTATTGCAAACTACTTACCTGTGCCAACGTGGTAACTGATCAAGAAGTTAAGTGAAGATGTACAAGATTCGTCATGTAGTGACGAGTAAACACTTCATTCAGCATCTTCCATGCAGCTTTTCTCTTTTTTAGCTGCTACCCATCATATCCTATCTATTCATTGGTTAATTCTATCAATTTTGTTGGTTGAACCAGTACTAGTATTTTGCTTATTTTTTTTACTTAGCCTACAGTCCAGAAATGGATATGCCTCAAATAAATGTCAGAGAATAAAGTTTATGCTGAAGGAAAATGTGTCACAGTTCAATTAAACATGTTTTCAATTTCTTTATTAATAGGCCTTCAGTCTCTGAGATTGGAAGGCCTTATGTTTTAGTTATTATTTTTTATATCTTTTTCTTTGCTATTTTCATAGCAATAGCTTTTGACGGCTATATCTGATCATCAGAAAACTTGGCACAAACATTGCATGGCGCTGTGAAAAGAAGCCTGTTGATTTTGAGCCTGGTTCGACATCCAATATGGCTGCCAGGTGGGCATATTGGATTTCGTTCTTAGCATGGTAAGTCTGAAACTTTTCGACCAATCTTCGTGAAAGGTGATATAGACAATTGATAATCCTGTATGAAGAAGCCTATTGATTTTGAACCCAGTCCGAAATCTACAAAGAATGTCAGGTAGCCATCTTGTATTTTCTTGTCACTGCACAAAGTGCCTCAATCAACCATCATGATAGTTAGTATAGACAACCAATTTGTCTGTGGGAAGAAGCCTATTGATTTTGAGCTCACCCAATATAGGCTATGTGGATATCTTAGAAACATTGGATGTCCCACTGATGGGAATACTGGACATATTGTTCTGGGTTTTTGTTACTCAATTCTCACAAAGAAACATTGTTGCAAGTCAAACCTAATTTAAAAATATTTTGTCAAGGTTACCGAGGATTTAGATGCCCAGATGCAAAATAACTTGCATTTTTGGTGAGTTTTGATGAATTGTAAAACACCTTGAAAAATGGTTGACAAAATTCATTTAGCTGTGGATCTCAAATATCAATCACATCTTTTCAGACACTTCAGATATATGGCTAACTAAAAAAATATAGTGGCGTTTAGTCCCTCTGTTTTGTAGTCAACTTTCAATTTTGGGGTCTGGCTCATGGATTATTTCTGTTGCCTGCTTTCAATGCTGAGCTCCTAATATCCTTCCACAATGTCTCACGTGATCAATTAAATGACGGTCATTGGCTGCAGAAGTGTCTTACTCAAGAAAGAGCTCTTCATATCAACCTTATTGTGGCTGTTGGAGTAGAAACTTCAGTTGAGTTTATATATTATTGCAATAGTGGCGGCCAATCTTTTTAATTGCATTCTTCCATAGAGAAGCTTGCACACTCTCCAAGATATACTAGAGATTAGGAAAGTAAATATGTGAATTACTATCTCCTGTTGTTGTGAATAACGAGAATTATAATTATTGTTTAGAATATTTGTGATATTTTTCGAAGACAGGTTACCTTTTTCCTATCTTTGCTGATGAGAATATTTTTTAGGTTAAAATTCTTGAATTTATAATTATTTCATCCCTAAAAGCAAGCAAACACACAAAACTAACTTAGCTTACCAGTGGAAATTCGATGTTCTGTGTGAAGGTGTTTCAAATTGCTGACCAGACAGAGAAACAGCAAGACAACTTGTCCCTTCATTTTCCTATTAAATTAAAAACTACAAATTGTGTGTTATTTCAAACCCACAGATATCAGGTTTGAAGGTAACGATAAATCAAAGAAGAATCCAAACCTGTTTCGCCAACTTTCTTGTCTACGCGGAAATAAACACACAGCTGAATCCACAGAAAATCGTCAGTAACTCTGCTACATTGACCCCGCCTACTTGGTCACGCGGTACACGTACATGTATAAGTCTGCAGAAGCTGGTCGAAGATTTAAATATATCCCAACAAAGAATAAATAGCCGTTCCGTTAGAAATACGTGTTTAATCCAGGATCTAAAATCGTAATGCTGCACATTTGTTAACGAAAACGAAGTTTTCAAACAATATGATTTATATTTACAATACATACCACTAATGAACAACCTCGAGAGATTTCGCAAATTACTTTAAACCTCTGTATAACTTTTCTATATACCCACTTACCTTAACTATAGGCCTGTACTTTACGAACATGATATTTGGGACATTCGCAAAGTAATAATATTTGAAGTAAAGTAAAACTATGACAAAAATCTGAGATAATATTGCATATTCTTTTCCATTCACCTACCAGAACAAATCTACGATATGAGAAACTAAGTTTTCTTTGCCTAAGTTAGTTGTCTAATTTGTTAGAGGGGAAAATAAATTTTTCATATATGATCATATGCCCATCAGGGGCACAGTACTGCTGGAGCGCACCGGAGCATCTCTCTGGCTCCTAAAATTAGAGCTGAATCCCAAAAAATGTATATAAAAAACTATTCAATTTACACCTGAAATTAATGTCCTTCATAGAAACAAGCATACAGACGGCCAGGGAACAGTCTATCTGTGTGTGATTCCCTGTATCCAGTAGTATAGCTCTCAGACCGTCTAGCACACATTCTGTCACTCACCCTGAGGAACGCCATTGGCTAATGAATGAAACTTAACTTCGTTAACACTGTCGTGTAGTCATTAGTTGATGAGTGAAAGCTTTACTTCGATAATACTACAGTATAACAATTAATTGACGAGAAAAACTTAACTTTGATGGCACATTGACACTACCATACAGAAATTGTTGATAACACACTGACATCACTGTCCAGTTATTGCTGATGAGTGATAACTTCAGTAACATATTGACACTATTGTACATCCATTAATTGAGGAGTGAAAGCCTAACTTATATAACACTATCCTAAAGTCGTTAGTTGATGAGTAAATACATCTAAAAGAAAACTGATTTTAACAACAATAAAATGTTTCAAATGAACGATAATGCACTAGAAAATTTGAAAGAACCCACCAACGAAGAAACAACGGAACTACACTGGGGTCAGAAAACGAATATTTATTTTGAATATATGCGGGATAGTCAAGAAGACAGACAATTTGTTTTAAGACAGTAGCGGGAATTAGTCAGTGTGTTCGATATAGGAGTTACTTTGTACAAGTATTAAAGTTGGTTTGATTTTGCGTTAGTCATTATCAATTTATGAACGTGAAAGGATAATTTTGATTTTGACAAAAAAGTCTCGGATAAACAAAACTATATGTATTCAATTCTTAGTAAGGTTATTAAAATTATTACTTAGTTTATTAACGAAAATTTAGGAAAATTTTACTCTCCTTTCAAAGATATTTTAATATTTCAGTAGTGAATTACAGAGATATAACAACAAGTGCTAAAATTGGCATTTCTGAGAATGTATTTGTTGTGAAATGTGCGACGCGTGTGTTAGCATGACCTCCAACGTCAAACAGATGTTGTAACAGGTAAATAGTAATAGCTATAGGTGTGTAGCAAGTACCACTACGGTGTCAGGACACAAGTTATCACTATGCTGTGAAACGATGCAAGTACATGCAGGCAGGTACACTTCTGACTGTATCTTTTGGATTCACTCTTATATGTTAAAACAAATACATGTATACAGGAAGAGAATATCTAAAGTTGCTATAGTTTGCCTACAACCGACGGTAACAAATCAATACTGCAACATGTGTACTTAGACGTTATTCCGTTACTGAGAAGGTCAGATAATCAATTGAAATGAAACACCAAAACACAAAAACAAAAAGTTAGACAGCAAAAATTCATGAACTTGAAATATGTTCAACAGTTTGAGTTTGTACATAGTTTATATTTAAAATCATTAAGTCATAATTGTATAGAACTAATATTAATATTTTTTAGAATTATTATTCACATTTCTCTTGTTGCTAAGGCAGTAAATTCAGCCTTTCTTTATTCTTTACATTGTTAATCAATACTCTGCATAATGTACAACACTAGCGTCATTTATATAAATATATAAAACCTAAACACAAATAATTTGTTTCATATCCTTCAAGTGCAAAATTTTTAAAGGCTTAGCAACTTACGTCAAGCAGCAACCAAGTACAAAGGTCGTAACTAGAAAAAATAATTGTTCGCTTTACTTTTTTATTTACTGTTCTATGTTTTTGGAAAATATGTTTAAGAACTTATTTCAAAATAGCAATAATCTATATACATACATAATGTATAATAATTGAAATGACTGTATTTTACAAAATACTAGTCAACTGAAACACAGCCAAGACAAGTTACTTTGTATAGAACAAAGATCAGTTTTATGTAATTTGATAAGGTAATATGAGTGCACGTGAGCCATGTCATTGTAACTTCTGTATTGTTAGCCAGGTACAGGTGAAAAGAAATATAATAAGAATAATAAATATATATAAATGTATAATGTTATGAGATTTAAGCTATTTCGTCTAAACATTTATGTTTTCGTGTTATAATTTGTGTTCACTCCAGAATGATAGAGGTATAATTTATGTTTATTTCCTAATTTTTATGGTGGTTACGATATTGTTCAAATATAATAAAAATAATTACTGAAAATAATAGATAAAATATAAAGTTTTTCTTACGAAACATTTGATAATTATCTGGACATTATAAAGATTTCGCATATGAAATTTCAAAATTTTTTGATGCA